TTAAATCTGTTATAAGGGTAGGATATGTATTGTTGTTTTTTCTAGTTGGCAAAGTTTGTGCAGTAAAGCTTCCATAATTCATATAATTGTTTATTAATTTTAAGCAGAAGATTGATTATAGTATTAGATGCTATTTTGTAGCAAATACTATAGTTTTAAAGTATTTGAATTAAAGATCAAGGAATTAGGCCTTTAAGAGTAGGCTCTATGTAAAAATAATAGGCTTGAAGAGCTATATTGTAGAATGCTTCATGTTTATGAATTTTTTAAATTAATTTTTCCAATTCATTGTTAGTTATATCTAGTTCTACTAAATGTAAATAATCTGTAATAGTAGATTGGATTATTTGGTGAAGTAAAGTAGAGTTAGTGCAGGTACACCAATGTAATAGAGAATCTAGGGAGCCATAGTGAAAATAGTTATTGTTATAAAAGGTCTTAGAGTATATAGAGTGGTAGAGTGAATGTGTAGGAAGTTCATTAAGCAGTGTTTTAATTTTAAAAGATTTGAGTTGATTAAGTTTAAAGTTTGTCAAAACAAACTTGGTTTGTTTTTTAAGTAAAAAAGTTATGCATAAAATGAAATCTAAGAAAACTATGTTGTAATTAGGATTATAATTAAAACAATATAACGTCTATTAGTAAAATATCACAAGAAATATTTTTAATTAGGCCACAGGTAGTTTTTTAATTAAAATTTAGAGTTATTCTTGTTTTTTTATAAAAAAATAGATCTAATTCTGAAATTCAATTGGTCAAATTACAGGGGTAACAATTTTTTGTAGCATCATATATACATATCTACTTTTTTTTATCTGGATTTATTTTCTATCCAGATTTATTTTTTATTCGGATTTATTTTCTATTCAGATTTATATATTATATCTATTCTATCCAGATTTATATTAGATCCAGATACAGAAATTCAAATATTGAATCTGAATTTATTTAAAATCTGAATTCATCTGAATATAAATATATATCCGAATTCAACTACTATCTCTATATCCAATTATATTTTTAAATAATGTTATATAATATATGTTTGCATAACAAATACCAAATTTATGCTTAAGTAAAATATATGGTTAGTTGTAGTTATACTTTAAGAGGATTATAGTGATTTGCAATTACGAAAAAGGCAAATAGCTAAATGTATATGAATATAGTCATATAAAAAGTAAATAGTTTATTTGAGTTATTCATATATAAAGTTATGATTACATTTTATTATTGAGTTATTAATTAAACTTATTAGTTTTAAGAGATATATTGGGTCTATTAATATATTTTGTTGTTAACTATTATATTAATTAAACAGAATTGGCACATTTGTCTATTGGCTCCAATAAACCTCAGGTCTATTGACCAAATCTATTGGTTCTATTAGAAAAGTTATAGACCAATAGACCAATAGATAATACTTTGTATTTTGCAAAATTTGATTCAAGTTTAAAATTATATTTTAACCGAATTATAAGACTTGATATTTTGTATTATATAGTTAATAATAATAGTAAGACTTATAATTTATTTAAAACTTTTAATTATAATAGATTTTGTACAAACAAGTTAAAAAGATTTATTTAAAATTTTTTAATTTATTATATTTAAAATAATACTATATTAATAATTTAAAGTTTTAACACAGATTTTACAAAATTTTAAATAAAATAAAATAAAAATAATGATAAAATTATTTGTAAAATCATTTATATAGATAAATATTTTAAACTCAGACCAATTATATATATGACATAATAACATTTTTTGGTCTGAATTCAAAAATAATTACCTATATATATAAAAACACTATATAATGATAATATTAAAAGATGATTTTTTAAGTTTATAAATTAGAAATAAATAGCAGAACTGGAAGATCATCTTTAAATAATATTTGTATTTCTCATTTTACATCATTATTGATAACTGGATGATCCTAATAATTAATATTTGATTTAGTTTGACATTATTTACATTGATATTAATATTAAAATCATCTAATTCCTCATCATCAGTAAGGTTTTTTTTAGTTATCATATCTATTCAATAACATATTATTTCATCCCAGTTATTTGCATTATTTATAGATTTATACTCACTATCTGATTCCTCTGCTTTATTATCTAATTTCTCTATTTCACCTGAAGTTTTATTAAAAACTAATATGCTATTATTATCATATAAATTACTTTTATCAAGTACTAGCAAAGGTGGTGCAATATTATTTTGTTTATATTTTTCAATTAACATTTCAACTTCTTTATAATAATGATAATAATTATAGTAGCACAAAGTTGAGCTATCTGAAGTACTTTTTGAGACTATAATTTAAAAAAAATTAATATAAAAAAATTATATATGATGTTCTTCAAATTACTGTAATCAACAAATTTTATGCATTATACTAGAAATCAAAAATAAAAAAATACTAACTTATAATTGGCTAAAAATTATTTGATTAATTTTTAATCAATTATATATTGGTATTTTTTCTAGATTCCTGATTCTAATATGATGCATAAAATTTGCTAATTATAGTAATTTAAAAAGTATAAAATAAATTTAACTAACCTTTAATTAAAATCATGTTTTACTATACAACCAACTCATATATGAAAAAAGCCCTTCAACAAAGACTGAATTGATACAAATTTTAAAAATATTGCATACTACTTTGTTTAATTCTTTTGCTGAAGTACTACAATATTCCTAATATTCTATAATATTATTAGTAAACTAGTTTGCAACATATATTGTAAATAGGTTTTCTTTTTTATAATATTTTTCAAGTTCAGGCAAAAGAGTAAGTAGTTTATTACCAAACCAGTTACAATAATAATATACAAGCTAATCACTAAGCTAAAAATAAAGTTGTTTATTTGTTAAGTTAAATATTGATATTCTATATTTAGAATAAAAAAAAATAAAATAAGTAATAATAGTTGTTCCCAAAAGTTCTACTGGTACTCTAAATGATCAATTATATAAGTAGCAAATTTTTTATTTGAATAATTTTTATATAATTTAATTAGATAAGATATATAATAAAGAACTTTATATAAGTAAACTTTATTATATTGTAATTTATTAAGGTATGCACAATAAGGAAGAAGTTGAAAAAGTTCTTGTAGTTGTGACTACCAATTGTTATTATTAATAATTTTGCATATATTATCAGGTAAATAAAGTATAGTAAATTCAATATTTGCAGAAAATTCATATTTAGCAACAAGCGTCTATTAATAAATAAAATATATAGATATTTTAAATTATTAGAAATTATAATTTAAGATTAGATTATTTAGGTTTAAAATTTTTAAGCAATTATTTAATTATAAATTAAAATAATTATTATTTAAAATTTAAAAATTAAATAATTTAATTTTAAATCAAAATAATTATATCTTATAAAATATAGTAAATAAATTAAACTTACTTTTAATATACTTTTTATTTTAAGTAAAGAATTAACACAATAAAAATAACTATTCTAATATGTTTCTGTAGAACTAGCAAATGAAATAAAATGCTTATATAATAAAAATTACTCATTATAAAGTTTGCTAATAAAATATTAATAATTAGTATTTTTAAAATACTCTACAACTATAATTACTAATTTTATTGTATTATTAAACTTATCTGATTCTTTGAATATTTTTCTAATATATAAATTAAACTGATAAGCAAAGTATAGCAAAAAAACTTTATCAATATATTTTAATCTTAATCTATATCTATAAAATAAAAAACAATTAATATTTTATATATTTGATAATAACTTAACTTTATATAAAATCTATATTATTTTACTAAAAATTACTTTACTGACAACTTAGTTCACTGACAGTTAATTTACAAAAAAGATTATTTTATAAACAATTAATTCATAGACAAGTTTATTTTACAGACAATTTATTTTACTAACAGCTTATTTCAATAACAAAATTTTTTATAAATTGTACTAATCTCAACTCGAATTCTGAATCTAATTTTAACAACAATGACCAGAATTACTTTATTAGTAAAAAGAGCTATTAGTAAAATAAACTTGTCTCTAAATTAATTGTCAGTAAAATATGCTTGTCTGTAAATTAATTGTTTGTGAACTAAGTTGTAAATAGAGTGATTTTTGGTAAATTAACAGAACTGCATTATAAATATATAATTATCTTGAAGCAGTATAAGCTATATCACTATTAGTTATAAGTCCAATTATATTTATTTCTAATAAATTAATTTTTTCAAATATTTTTTTAGTAATTTCTATAATATATTCATATCTTTTTCTATATCTACTTATATCAATTGCATTTCATATTAAAGTTTTACCACTTGATATAATTAAAATTGATCCTAAAATTTTCTGGTTTACTATATTCTTCCAATCATTAAAAGCAATTATAACTCCATATTGATCACTACATGCTTTATCTTGAATATATAATTTATTAACTTTAACTACATTTTGTAAAATACGCCCAGCTAGGGTGTGGCGACTTAGTGAAGTGGTGAAGTTGTCGCACCCCCAAGCGGTTGAGTACAAGTTCAATTCCCACTG